GATGATTTTGTTCCATAACCGCAGTCCCTCTCTTCCCAATAAATCGATTTCTTTGAATTTATGATCAGAATTATTTGAAACTTGGTATAAATGGTCTTCAATACAATTAAATATGTGTTTTAGCATTATTCGAAATTCATCCCATAAGAGGGTAAAATAGCGGATGAAAGTTTGTATGAAAATGTTGTTTGTATGTTAGAGGTTTTTTTGTAGTTTTAGCGCGAGCGAAGACGCGGGTTCTGCTAGTAATAAATAAAAATAAAATTCTATCTGAGTGGAATATATACATTAAATATTTTTTGGAAAATCTTATTGAAATAGTCATTATTATCGATACAGAGGCCAAATCTATAGTTTTTAGAATTCATGTCTGTCTGTCTGTGACCACATCACGAGAAAATCACTGGACAGATTTTGATGAAATTTGATATGAGGTTAGCTGGTTATCCGGGTCAACATATAGGATACTTTTTACTTCGGGAAAATAACTCATCTCTGAGAAATATATACTAAACGTCAAAACGTAACTAGTAGCTAGTATTTAACTTACTGATTAAAATTAAATAAAAAGTGCCAGTGTCTATGCAATGCCATTTTACTTATTTATATATGAATCTAAATTTGCAGTTACTTTTGATTTTCACTAGCAATATCTTTATTATATTTTTATTAATATGTCTTCCCAATATTCCTCCACACCTTACCATTCTAGTAAGACCTCCGTTCGGAATTTATTCTCTTTTAGTAAAATTTCATATTAAGCTGGTCCATGGTAAATGTGATTTGGGTATTCATGATGCTCTCTCGGTAAAATTTCGTTCAATATACTTACTTATATGAGGTGCCTTTTATTTGCACAGAAATAGAGTTATTACGTTGAAAGTGGTTTTTGCGAATCTTTTTAGGTTGTTTGGAAAAAATATATATTATTGAAGCTGACAACGTAAAAATGGCAAAACACAAAATTTCATATATTTTTTTCTAGGCTTACGCATAACTTTAAATATAAATGTGGCTTATAATTTGTAAAAATGGCTGGATGCAAAATTATAAATTTATATATAAAATGGATATTGGGATTATTATTTTCTTTCATTTTCCAATGATACAATATATTGTAGTTGTAATTATCTTCTATACATTCTATACATAATAAAATTCAGAATCGAAGCTGTGCATAATTTTTTTTTTAAATCTTATTGAAATAGCCATTATTATCGATAGATACAGAGGCCGAATCTATAGTTTTTGGAATGTTTGTCTGTCTGTCTGGGACCGCAACACGAGAAAACTACTGAACAGATTTTGATGATATTTGGTAAAATGATAGCTATATCCGAGTCAACATATAAGATCCTTTTTAAGTCGGGAAAATATCTCATTTCTGAGAAATCTATACTAAACGTTACAACGTAATGTGTGTAATATGTAGATAAAAGGATATGGAATAAAACAAAATGTGTCAAAGATGAATTTTATTCTAATTAAATTTAAGTGGAAACATGAATTATTATAACACGAATCTAAAGAAGGAAACACTATTATAACCTTAATTACCAAATACTTATATAAAATAACAAAATGTCTTTCTTGTTGTTGTCGTTCAAATTATTACAAAGAAAACTATAAACAAAGCATTCGTTAAATGAACTTGTACACCATAAAATGGTACTACATTGGTAATCAATTACATAATAATTAATGCAAAATATATTTAACAATATATTTGTGCCAAAAAAATAGTGTGACCAGATAAAAAAAAATCAAAAATTATTTAAAAAAATACGTTAATAGTATATACTTACGTATAATTTTTTTTCTAGTCACACTTTACAATATGACATGTCAGTGCCAAATATATCTACTTCAAAACGTGTAACAATCACGAATAACTGTAATCAAAATTACAATTTAATTTACTCCTCATTATTTTCAGAAGGCACATGAAAATTCCTTATAAATAAATGAAAACGAGAGCGAGGCGACGAAACGTCATGTAAAAAGCGGAACAGATAAAAAATGTTTACAAAATGAGGCTGTATATGTAAAAAAAAGTTTGTATTTTGCGACAAAAAATCGCAATGTCCGAATACCGGTCAGTCACCGTTACAATCGTTATTCGCCTTCATACATATAACATAATGTATATGAACAATCCTATTCTATATAAAAATACAACAATATTCACTTGGGAAGCTAATTTGACAGTTTACAAAAGTCAAATGAGCTTCGCTTAACGTGATATGCCACAGATTATAAATAATTTACACGCTACCCTTTTTATTCAACCAGTGTTGAAAATACCGATGCCATTAAGATTTTGATGTTAGGCTATCAAAAATCGAATTAAAAAAATTACCCATTTTAATAGATTTTAGCAATCGATTTTATTAGATGAAAAATTTTCGCGACTGGCAAAGTTTTTGTATATTGTATGCGATTGAAAATATCACAAAATATACTATTTAAGACTTTTTGGTTTATTATATAGGCATCGGTATATTATCGATTAATTTTCATTTCTATAAGCATTCCCCAAGCTTACTTACAAGATTTGATCCCAAAACTGACAAATATAATTTTATATTGGGGTATAGTTGTTTTATCAACGAAAAAAATATCTAATCACTCTAACATCAAGCATATATACAGTACACAGCGACAGTGCAGTGTGGAGTAAGTGAAAAAATAATCTAAATTAGACAAAAATTAAAATAGGAAGTATGGCAAACATTGAACATAAACAATTTCCCAAAAAAACCATATTTCTGACATTGTAAGAAATAAAAAAAAATTAAGAAACTTACTCCAAACAAAACAATTGAATCTGTATATTAAAAGTTACAAATATAGGTATCATAGAACGCACACTACCGCTACACTACAAGTAAGAAAAATATATAATTTCCCATAGAATTAATTTATGAAAGCTCGTGAAAATATTTTTAGAGTTACAAGAGTTGTCTTTTATAGTTTAATACTTCTTAATAACCTAATAAATTAACGAGGAATCGAACTAAAATGTAAAATTTCGATGGAAAACGGTGAAAAAAAAAACAATCCTAGTGTGTAAAAAATAGGCCAAAAACCTTATTCCCTAAGAAACACGCAAACTTATGAATTATGAAAACAAACAAAAACTTTTATTCATGTCTTTAAATCTGCTGCTTCGATCTGTTAACCGACGCTGATTGGTTTAAAAAAAAACCTTGTCTTTGGAAATCGGTTATATGAAGTGAGAAAGGAAACTAAAGGTGTATTTTAAGGATTTGAATGCGAAATGTGTGTAATAAATGCATATCGCACTTGACATTCCATTGACAGGATTAAGGGTTGAATTAAAAAAAAACAGTAATACAATGTATGATTGTTTTTTTGCAAAATTTGCTAATTTCTTAATGTATTTAAAGTACAAAATCTTCGAGAATACCTTACTATATCTACTCGAATCTATGGAAGCCAAAACGTAGCGATTCCTATGACCGCTTATAAAAAATGCCATATTTAACATTTAACTTTTAATTATGCATTTGTATACGCGTACTTTACGGAGATAGCTTTTCTATAAATTTATAAGTGGTCCTATATTGTGATTTCAATAAGAAAATACTGCAGTGGTCCAAATTTCATTCGTCTAGTGATATTAGTTCGGTTATTAACTCAGAAAACCGAAATTTTGATATTTTTTGTGCAAATATGGTTGTCCGAATTAATCGCATTTAATTGTTATAATAGTATTACTATTTTGATTTTCATTAAAAAAAAGTCTTTACATTAATATTAATAGCAAAAAATACCAATACACAGTTAACCAAATTAACAACCGAACTATTAACTCTAGGTCATTTTCATTAGGTTACATCTAACTTAAATTCAGCCATACATTTATTTAAGGCAAGTTTCATTCTTATTTTCTTAATTTTGGTGATAACTACATTTAAAAAATTCAAAAGTTGGCCGAATGGTGTGAATTTCAGTAGAAGAGCTATCCCATTTCGATAGTATTACATGATTTTATTACAATACGATCGTGGTACAGACCCTGCCTCGTTCAAGCGATATATCTATGTTAAATAATAGTGATATTATACAAATTTAGGCCTAAACCGTGTCAATCGTAAGGAATATTGTATGTTCTGTACATATTATCATTCATTGGTAACCATCAATATGGAAATCTGTTCTAAAAGAACTTTTTTCACTCTTTAAATATCTCAAAGACGGTTTGCGTTAGTCAATTGTGATTGATGCTCATTGATACGATTGAATTACTTTACACAATTGAAATATAATATATTACAACCATATTGAAGTAAATGATTGATATAAACATCAACAACCGCAGTTTACTGTCTCGAAAGCTTTAATGTAATACACATTACCTTTGCCTTAGTATTGACATAATATCGATCTCATGTTCATTGTTATATGGCTAGCTAGTCTCAGTGACTTAGTACTTAGTCAGACTTTATTTTTTGGATGAATCATAGAAAAATTCATGCAAATCCGACAAAGTCCATACACGACTGACGCGACCAAGCCCAACCCTTAAACTACCCTACAAGCATAAGAAACACCCTATATTGATAGGAACTGAAAGGAAAATAAAATTCTAAAACGCTAATCGAAGTACTACAAATTTTTAAACAAAAAGATGTTTCAGATGTGCAACGATTGCATACAAAATAACTTTCACTTACACTAATTTACTTTTTAGTTTACAAAACTTACCTCAGCTTTGTGTATTAAGTCGTTTCACACGAACTTGAGATGACGCCTCGAATAACGTATTTTGACCCATATTTACATTTTCACATATAATTTCCATATAAGCTCTGAATTTAATATAAAAGTGAGAGCAAAATCATTCGATCATTAATTTCGTAACACCGTTTACACACAATTAATTTGATTAAACGTGTTGTTTTGTCCTAAATTCACTGGGAAATGCGTAATGTGTTTGCGAGGCGCATCTGCAATGGTGTAATAACGTGTAACTATGAGCATTCCGGCTCTTCCCAGTCGATGCTTGCCCATTGTGGAAGCTCCGTCTCGTATTCCCAGCCGGGACCCTGAATAGAAATTCGACATTAAAATTACTGTCCAGTACTGACTTAGATTTACGCAAATATTTAGTAGTAATAGAATAAATTATATATATTTTTTCATATTAAAAAAAAGGTATTATTTTTATCATTTCTCGTTTCTTTGAAATTAATATATATTTTTCTGGGTACGTCTGTTCACTATATGATGAATTTTGAGACGCCAAAAACTCTTCCGTGACCATAAAGAGTAAAGGATTCGAAAATTACAAAAACAATAAATCCGCGAAAAATCCGAAACAGTAGAAATACTCGTAAAATAAAAAAGTACCTACAATGCGGCTTTTAATATGGACGGTGGTATTATTTTATTTCTCCAGTAATAAAACTTAGATCTTATTTAGAAGACTACGTAAGAAGTCTATTAAAGAAAAAACGAATTCGCTAAACCGTAACAAACCGAGATATTGTGTTTGCTATTTCTTTTTATCAGGCGTTATTTTTTTAATAAATACTACTTTATTCTACTCAACCAGCTTACATAAATCTCAGTGACTTAGTCTCTAACCTTAAAAACTAACACATATATAAATAGTTTGTTATATATATGTTACTTTTTAAGGTATATATCTTATGGACCTCTGTTTACATATTTAAGATCATTTTGTAAATATTGCCTGAAATAAATGATTAAATAAAAAAATAATAAAAAAATGACTCGGCTCCTTTCTAGATCATATATAGATGTTACAGCTATATATAAGTTAGCACAGCAGTGGTGGCCCAATGGTAATGCGTTTGTTTGGGTAACTGAGTGAAGCGGGTTCAAATCCTGGGTCTCGCACCTCTGATATTCTCATGTGCGAATCATTGCCAACATGATTAACACTTGTAAAGAAACACATTTTGAGGAAACTTGCATGTCTGAGAGAACTAAGTTTTCGATGACCACCAACCAGCACTATGGCCCGATCGCCCTCGTATTGAAGGGAGATCCGTGCCCAGCAGTGGGACGTTAAAAGGAGCTGAATACGTATTCTTAATATAAAAGCTTTAAATGTTTTAATCTTTTCGTATCGTAAAAACTCACATGTTTATACAAAATATAACTTATTTACAGTCGAATAAAACTTGAAGTGAGTCATTACGAAAAACTCCCTAAGGTTTTTAATCCACGTATTTGTATTTTAGAACATTTATTTACTTTTGTGACTGCTGTCTTTTACTGTTTTGTTGAAATCTTCTTGTAGAAGTATGTAAGTATATTTAATTCAAATTGTCTCATTTTATGTTATATTTCATTTATATTTATACATACAAACAAATAAAATTGAAGTGACTGTGTGTAATGTCAAAATAATAGCTTTTTACTAAATGCAGATGAAATTTATAAGAAATACACAATTATTTAAATTTTTGTCTGGCTGTTTCGGCTAATTTTCATTCCGTCTGGATTAATTTTGACGATTGATTTTTTTGAGTAACCTAGGCTACTCATATTTTAAAAAAAGAATTAAAGTTCCGCTCAAAAAAATTAAAACGTACCTAGAATGTACGCACTCGAGTGACACAAGGGTACTTTATACATATACCGATATAATATAAGAATTAAGAAGATCTGGTTGTCTGTGAAACCAGCATCTCACGCATCAATGATAGCAATACCATATATCTGTATATAATAAAATCCTAAGTCGAATCTTTACATAAAATATTTTTTGGAAAATCTTATTGAAATAGTCATTATTATTGATACGGAGGTCAAATCTATACTTTTTGGAATTTTTGTCTGTTTGTGTCTGTTTGTCTGTCTGGGAACGCATCACGAGAAAACCACTTGAAATATTTGATGAAATTTGGTATGATGATAGCTGGTTATCTGTGTCAACATATAGAATACTCTTTACTACGGGAAAGCATCTCATCTCTGAGAAATCTATACTAAAGGTTAAAACATAAAAAAGCTAGTGTATCTATATAAAAACAATTGACTTTGTCTTTATGTAAATATTATGCTAAATAAGTAAAGAAAAATATATAAGAAAGAATCACCTTATACTTCCAGGCGTGTAGATACATAACCAGGTCGCGTGGGCGCGGGTCGCGGTACCTCACGCGGCACTCGTAGCAGTGCGGGTCGGGGGTGAGCGCGTCGCCGGCTGCGTTCGTGGTTGTCACAGTAACGGTTGAGTTGGCCGTGGTTGCCATGGTAACGGTTGAGGTTCCCGGCGGTTGCGCGGCCGGCGTGCAACCGGTCTGGGTTGCGACTGTCACTTTATCTGACTGTGGGTTAGATATGATTTTTAGTGTATAAATGTGAGTAATATAAGTATTGTAGCATCTTTAAGACTAATCTTAGGGCCTATGCACACTAGTACTTAATATCGCGTTGTCGACGCCCGCTTGTCTCGTGGTGTGCTTAGAGCCTTTTTGTTGGTACTAACATTTACATACAAAGATAAAAAATACATATTTTTTTTTATTGGCTCTAAGATTTACATACATAAAAGTACATACGTGGATAAAATACATGTTCTCCTCACTATCGTTTCATACAATAAAGTTTAATTTTAATATTTCTATTTTAAAGTAACTTTAATTAAAGTATTAAGTAAAGAATTTGGTTTTTTGAGTATTAAAGAACAATGTTTTTTTTATACCAATAGAATTGACATTTAAAAGTTAATTTCGTATTAAAATATCGGTAATTTGGTCGTTTGGACATTGGTCCGAACAGGCACAGACGAGAGTGAGTCGCTAGCATTTGATATAATAGAGATTACAGGAAGCGAGTGTGGGATATTATAAATGCAAAACACATCTAGGGGCCTAAACCACTAGTTATATTATAAAATTGAGTCCAAAAATGTATATCAACCTACCTAGATATTGTAGGTGCACTCCAATTTACCGATATTTTAACAAGCAATGAGACGATGATAAAACAAACATACCTTAGCATCATTAGAGTCTTCGTTGATCATAGGCGAGGGTGGTGCGGGGGAACGCACTTCCATGGGTGCCTCTTCACCGCTGGAAGGACTCGCTAATGTCGCTATAATAGACAAAAATCGTTAAAACATGTGTATCCATACTAATATTATAAATGTGAAAGTGTGTTTGTTTGTCTTTCTTTCGCGTTGAAACGGAATGACGGATTGGCGTGATTTTTGTGTGGAGATAGTTGGAGGACTGGAGAGTGGCATAGGCTACTTTTTACCGCGGGAGATTATCTAATTCTCACGGAAAAACACGTTATAAATAAATCCAAAAAAATATTTATGATCAGAATTATTTGAAACTTGGTATTAATGCTCTTCAATAAAATTAAATAAATACATGTTTTAGCATTTTTGGATATTCATTCTATAAGGGAGTAAAATAGCGGAAGATTTGTATGAAACTACTTTTTTTGAGATTTTTTTGTAGTATTAGCGCGAGCGAACAAAGCAACACTCACGAGTCATGACGGTGGCCGGCGTGAGTCCCGGCGCGGGCGACTCCAGCCGCGGCGACGACTCGCGCGACGCCGGGCCCGTGTCGCACTCGTCTTCACCGACTAATTTACAACAAAATAATCAATTGAAAATAGAATATCAAATGATAATAGAGTACATCATGTTTCTAACATTTATATAGTATTCAGTCCATTTTAACACCCCACTGCTGGGTGCGGGCCTCCCTTCAATACGAGAATCAGGCTATAGTCCACCACGCTGACCAAGTGCGTGCGAACTTCACATGCCTTTCCAAAACTTGCTAGGTTCTCTTACATAGACATGCAGGTTTCCTCACGATGTTTTCCTTTACGGTAAGACAAGTGGTAATCATGTTGGAAATGATTCGCACATGAAAACATTAGAGGTGCATTGAACACTTAGAACATCGGGATTTGAACCCGCTTCATTCGGTTTCTCAAGCGACTAAAAAGAGTAGGAGAGACTAAAAATTAAAATAAAACCGCAAAAAACCCGAAAAGATAGATTTTATTAAAAATTACCTTTATCATCTGATGCAGGTTTGGAGAAAAGAAGGTCATCATCAGCCGCGTCCACTCCGAGCCAATTTTCAGCATTGTGTATAGCAATCAGATCCCTTACGAGCTGTTCGTCTGTCTTCCCACCTGTATCTCCTCCTTTACCGCGCAACGGCCCAAATACTGGATGGTTGTACAGTGGATCATTTACCACTGGATAACCTATTAAATCGTAATATTGGTTATATCTTTCTATCTCGTTATTCTTTCTCGAAAAATAAATATAGGTGGCATATATATCTTATAATAAATTATAGGAGTCTTTAGCCATATTCTATTAAATACAAAAATAATCATCAAAAACGGTATAATTGGCAAAGATACACCCTTATTATATAATTGAGTACTATTTTTTTTTGAAATCGGCTAAAATAACCTATATAGACTTTTCGGGCTATAATACAGATTATGACTAATTTCATATATAATATAGATATATATATATAAAAACGAAATTCACATATAAAATCTGCCTCGTATGAAACTACGTTTGCTTTGGAGTAACATTATTAAATTAAACTTTGTTTCCAATAAGTAAAGTCAATATTCCACTCTACATATACGTCGGGTTGTATAAGACTTAATATAACTTTATTATTATACACATATGTACAGATTTTTCCACCATATTTTTAACTATGAATACTTTGATTAAAATATCTGAAAGTATATATAATAGACGATAAAAATATATTTTTTAAAAATAAGACAATATTTGATAGTTATATGCTCTTCTAAATCTCTACAAAATCTGTAAGACGTTATAAGCTAAAATCGGTATAAATATACAGCAGTTTATTTTTCAAAAAAAAATCTTGGTTAAATTTTCTACCCCATAGTAATATTACAAATGCGAGAGTAATTCTGTCTGTCTGTTACATTTCACACCTAAATCGCTGAACCAATTTTGATGAATTTTGGTATAATATTATAAAGAGGAAAACATTTTTTGTTTGTTTGTTTGTATCGAATAGGTCCCGAAACTACTGAACCGATTTAGATAAAATTTGGTAAGAAATTAGTTTGAGTTTGAAAGTTTGTATGGGGAAGTAACCTAGGGACGAACCCGAGCGAAGCGAGAGTGAGTCGCTAGTATTTGATATAATGGAGATCAAAGAAAGAGAGTATGGGATATTATAAATGCAAAACACATCTAGGGGCCTAAACAACTAGTTATATTATAAAATTGAGTCCAAAAGTGTATATCAACCTACCTAGATATTGCAGGTGCACTCTAATTTGATGCATTCTTCCTGTCTTAGGTCGGCAAAGAACAACACTAGTGTTTGCTTTAGCATTGAATCCCAGACGTTTGAACACCGTGGAACAATCTTTCCCTTTAGGAGATACTTTACAAACACCTATCTTGTAGCTTACGACTTCAATTGGTTCTTGACACTCGATTTCTTCACTGAATAATGAGAAAGTTTGTTTTAGAAGATTGATAGACGTGTGTATAGTACACACACACACACACATATATATATACACATATATATATATATATATATATATATATATATATATATAAAATTGAAGCGTCTGTCTGTGATTTCAAAATAACTATGTACTTTCAAATATATAGTTATAAAATATGACACTGTCAGTACCTAAACTACTTTTTTTTGTCTGTTTGTCTGTCTATAATATTCGGAACAGATTAACCGATTGTAATGGGATTTTTAATGAAAGATATAGGAGTTTGTAGGGCTACATTATAATAAAACATACCCTATAGGGTATGTTTTATTTGGAAAATATTTATGGTTCCAGCACAAAAACCGAAAACCCTTAAAAATTACGAAAAACTCGAATTTACGCTTCTAAATTAGGGACTAGGGACGAGCTAGGGAAGCACCTGAGCGAAGCAAGAGAAAGTGGCTTGTACAAAATAAATTTCAATTATTCAAACTTTAAAAGCACTAAAATAAATTTATCATGGGATTTTTACTAAATTCGATATTGCAATTTGGTTTTGGATAACTTTAACCTATACATTTATTTTTACTTAGCCACACTTAATTGAAAAAAAAAGAATTCTATTATATATAATATGCAATTATACTAAATTTGTTCTTAGGCTAAATTTGTTTACTCGAACAAGTCACGACCTGATCATATTAGACACTGGTCCAATATCCTATATAAGACAATATAATTATATTACCAGTAAATTTACATTCAAGCTAACATTTACATAAATCTCAAGCAACGTGATCTGCAAACTGATTTGAAATCAACGTAAATAAGTTTAGTGTTTATTTTAATTAACTGTGTATACTCACTCGGGGAACTCGCCGTCGACTCGACAGACGTATTCCTTTTGCACCTGTCGATTTCTTATCTGATGTTCCATTTGCCTAGCCTTCTTTGGACTCCTCCCGAATAATAAGAGACCTGATTGCGAATAAATAAATATTATTATTGTATCAACATGCTTTTTATTGAGTGTCTCACTGGGCTAGTGGTTGGGTGTACGGCTGTAGGTCGAGAGGTGATGTGTTCGAGTCTCGGTCAGGTCAAAGTAGTTATAAGGTTTTTTCTGTCATGAAATATGTAAATATGTAATCAGTGGCAGTACGTGTTTACATCCCCGTAGTTCAAAGAGCACGTTCAAAAGTCAGTCGTGCGTTTTATGACATACGGTTGAGAGACCATCGTGATGTAGGCCACCGTAGCCGAAATTGGTCAGGACACAATTTGAGCTTTCAGAACTTTGAAAAATGATCGATCAGTCTTTGTAATATATCGGGAAAATTTAATATTTTTGTTATATTTTATTAAAATGTCTAGCAAAATATAAAATTAATATTATATGTAAAACTATAATTCTCAAAGCGGGTTATTTGGTATAGCTATACTATTTTCTTACCTGATGTTAGCCTATCCAGTCTGTGTATGGTCCTGAGATTTTTGAGGTTATATTCTTTAGCGAGTATGAACACAACAGTGTTGTGGCGGTATCGACCGCATGGATGAACCTGTCGAGTCAATTCAACATTTTATACTTTTAAAATGGATGACAGAAAGATCGCTGCAAAATTAATAAACACTTAAACATATACGAGTAAATCTGCAAAGTTTTATTTTTAATCGATATTTATTCAAGTTATTTAATTATTCGATTTATTCCATTTATATTATATAGTGTAATTAAAATTGGTGCTACGAAATAAAAAGCAATAATGATACAGCCAGTATAAATATTATAAATAAAGCTGCAGAACAAAGCGAAAACAGTGAAACACCTCACGTTACAAGTGAGTTTGAAATGTTGTTTAGACAATAGTGCAGGTGCCATGCAAAAATAAACGTGATAAAATAAAATAGTGAATATAGCAGTGAGATAAAATATATGTTTATTAGTTTCAAATATAAGTTTCATATTAGTAAAGTAAATGAAAAAGTCGGAATTTAATATAACAGTTATCTTTTCTTATGGGAAAAAACAATTTAAAAGACAGTCTAGAGGATATTGTGCCCTCCAGTTATCTTTTATCCACTTATAAGTGGGATTCTCTAAGATTATAATGTTGGTACCGTTTGGAATATATATTCCATTTACTGTGCTCATCATAATCTTTATCAGACCCTGATACCGAACTTTTGAATTAAAATCCATTTATTTAACAATTTCTTTACAAACATAACATATAAGCTATTACCGGATTACGCAAAAAAAAAATATACAAAAAATTCGGAAAAATCTATAACTGTCATTACAAAAAATTCAAACATACCAAAAACCGTAACAAGTAGATCGTCAAAAATTTTACTATCGAAAATATGAAAAATCTAAAAGTAAAAAATAAGAAAATTTCGTGATAATATACATTAGAAAAACAACGTTCGCATGTAACCAGAGCCTGATATAAACACAAACGGTCCGAACGCTGACTCACCGGCAAAGAGCATGGCTTGTCTAGTACTAGGAGCTCTTCATCGACGTGTATGATGCGTAAAGGACTTGCGAGGACTGGCGTCTCGTGCCTGGCCCGCATCAGAACATTTCATTAATGTCCTATGATGTTGCGAATCACCAATCGCATATTTGCATTAGATTTAATACAACAGATTGTTTTTACAATCGTTGTCGGTGTGTAACTTAATATTAACAAAATTATAGAAACAAAATATATAATAAGCATTCGCAGAATCAAAGGTTACGAAGTGGTTTTATAGATAAAATTGTGAATTTAATTTAATCGTAAGGTCCCTATACTATATATAGGGAAATAAGTCTGTCGAGATCGAGTCATTCTTATGAACTCGCTTATGTGAGATACTTAAGTTTCACCCTGTATAATGTGGCACGAAAGTATCAATGAAATTTTTGCGAAAAGAATATTGTAAATGAGTATAATAAAAACATACTACATAGAATAAAAATATATACGTATATAAAAATCAAGGGAAAAATTACATCTAATTATTGTAGCATAAAAGTTCTAACTCGTGTAAGAATGTTAAAAAAATATGTACTATTATAATTTCATGAATGAAACCTGCCTGAAGCTTTGACAGACAGATTTTTTTACATAAGTTCTTTTCAAAGGTTAACATAAGAACACGGTTCTTAAGGGTTTTTAACCGTCTAGGATTGTATCTTGATATTTCGCTTATGGTCTTTAATACTTTATCGCCATCAATAATATTATTCATAGTGATATATAGAATTAATGTATTTTATATGGAAAGACTAATTTCATGGGCTAGTGTTATTGGCTTTTATGTTAGCTGTCAGTCTGTAAGAGACGTGTGTTTATCTAGGAATAGAATTAGCATTGAAAATGGCCACTTACAATCCTTTTTAGAGGAATAACAAAATGTAGTTCGACAAAACAGCTACAAATAAATCAAATATAGTGAGCAATAAAATTATAAGTAAAGTAAGTACTTCTTTTTAAAATAATTCAAGTAGTTTAATTGGAATAATGTGTAACAAGCATTTTTATAAGTCGAGAAAAATAATTTTACTTTTACTATACCCATAATTTAAGCAGAGCATGTAAAATCTAACATAAAAACACCATCAGATGAAGAATATGACAGTAAAATATCCCATTAAAATATTTATTTTATCATATAAATATTTACTTATCTAAGTGCGTAGCAACACCATAGTACTAAAGATCGCCGCACACTGTAGATCTATAAGTCGATAAGTTGTTTTCTCAATCAGTAATAAATTTAACTCTCATATATTTGATAATTTAATTATATAAAATAATCCACAATGTACGGGTCCACTAAGCGTATAGAAGGATACTATTACGTTAAAGAGGAAGGAACTACTTAGGGTCCAAAATGCATTATAGATAATTCACAAGTTCCAGTTATTCTAATGAAATTTATTTAAATGTAAATTTTATATTAAATTTTGTGGTTTAAATTTAACTTAACTATATACTGATATAAACAGAGAAAGGTCGCTGGTTATATTCCCAAACGAGGCAATTTTTTCTTATTAAATGTACTGAGGTTTCTTTAGTTAAGATGAAGCATAGATCCAACACGCAGTGTCTCGATTGAAGCAGAAAGGAACAGAGCGAGATATCTGTATTCTCCTTCTCCCTCCCACAAGTGAAGTGTGTAAATATAAATAAAAGAGCTTGTACGAACATAATTATAGTTTTATGGAAATACAAAGTTATAACTGAGTGTAACGTTTCGAATTCGTCAAAACGAATCAAATGCCCTTGAATATGAATTTGCAGGTCTCTAATACTATAAAAAAGTTCCAGTAACCATATCCTGGCTCCAGCATCAGATCAGCTCCAGTCATCCAGATTTCATACATAAAACTTCAAATGTATACGATACTTACAAATAGGTTAAAATCGTTTACAAATATTTGATTACACAGTAACAAATGAAGCTAAAAAATCATATTAACATTATCATATATACAAACATACATACAGCCATACAAATTTGTATATTTGTTTTGAAGCACTAATAGATTTTCATATGTGAACATTATTCCTTCCACGACCGCGGACACGCTGGCGTTACAGTTAACAATAAATTTCTTAGAAATTTAATTAATTTCTTAGAAATTTACCTGGAGGTGTTAAACGGTTCCAATAACATACGTACGTATCGATTATAAAACATATTTTTTTAATATATATTATATTTTGAAATTTATTTTGAAATCGGTTAAAAATATAGCCTTACTAATAACTAAGGCATTTTAAACTGGACTAGATGAAGATTAAACTTAATATATGATTATTTTGGACGTTATCATTGTATCGCATTGCTACAATATTTCACTTAAAATATCTTATGCCAGACCTCCCTGCGAAAAAACGGCATCAATCAAATAAATTGGACACGGACCAGTCACTGGGCGCTTACGGTGAATAAAAATCACCACTGTTACGAACATGCGAATAATAAATAACAAAGACATCTTGCCTTTGGCTCTAGAATTCCTTTCCATCGCATTACTGTGATTATACTAATTTATTAGGCCCGAGGCCAAATCTTGATAGCTTTTGAAGAACTCCTCTGCCTATAAGGACGCTGTCAGGTGTATTTTATTGATGAATTATAAATATTTTACGAATGAAATATTTTTAACCCCCGACGCAAAAAGGGAGATGTTATAAGTTTGACGTCGATGTCTGTGTGTGTGTGTCTGTTTGTGGCATCGTAGCTCTCAAACGGAAGGACCGATTTCGATGCACTTTTTTTTATTTGAAAGCCAGTTTCCTTGCGGTGGTTCTTAGGTAGTGTTTGGTTAATATTGGTCCAGCAATATAAGAGTACCAGCTCTTTTCCAAAATGATGTAAGGCATTTTGGCGTATGATTACTCGATTAAGTGCTTCACGCGTGCCAGTGTAATCGACAATTGACATAGAATGACAATTAATTTGCGTAGGGGGTTTTTTAATTTTTTTTGTATACTATAAAAAAACTATATTTCACTTTCATCTGAATCCCCTATGATAGTGAATGTCCCATTAAAATTAATATAACCGTTCCGGAGTTTAGCGGACACAAACAGATAGACGAACAAAAATAATGCCGGTTAGTGCTTTCTATCGTAGAAATACCCATATGAGTTATATGTAGGTATGAAATTTTTGATTGGTTTTCGAAGCATAGCGGTACTGACTCGAGATTACAGGTTCGATATCTGTTCTTAATTTAATAATGAGAATAATGAAGAAAAGATTAGAAAAGATTAAAAATAATACTATTAATAATATTAAATGTTATATTAGAATGGCAACAATTTTAGATGTAATAAACCAATATTGTGTAGAAGTCCTAGTTACTACAAATAAATCTATCTCTAGGGGATAACTGAGTACCTGTTAATTAATAGAGCCGAGTCACGATACGTTTCGCTTTGATAATATAATTCGATTGCTTTATACCTTAAGATGGATTTTTAATCAAGATCTTTTACTTAGAATAGGAATATTTTTTAGCTTTTTAACTGAATAAGTTAAAGTTGAGCTTTAAGCTCAAGATATGTTCTTTGACAAGATAATTGTATAGTAACACTAAAAGGTAACAATGACAAGTTTGGAGAGAGCGAGTTCAAAAGTTTCTATCTGTACAATATAATAAGCTTAAAGTGACATTTATTTTCATTACTAGCAACCTATCCTAACTTGTAGAGTTATACATACAGACATACATTGTAGATAATAATAATAACAATATGTTGGGACATTAAAACACAGAACCATCTAGTTCCATGGTAAGTTACGAGACTTGTGTTATGGATACCAGATAGTTGATACACTACACATATATAACTTTAAATACATACATATTATAAATATAAACACCCATAACTGAAGTATAAACGTTCGTGCTCATCAGATAAATGAATGCCCCCAGCGGGACTCGAACCCGCGACCGCTGGCACAGCAAATACATATATTATTTTCTTTGTATGTATATATTATTGTATATGCTAATATTATTTTGTTTATATTAACTCCGACTAACAAATTTTAAACTGTCCGAGAAAACTAGCGGGCATATCGTATGTACGTATGTACATTGATAGAAGATACTACAGAAACCTTTGCGGTTTTATGCAGGACTTACTAAAGCTTCATCGAGATTGGATGATTGATATAGGAACATGATACAAACAAACATACAGATAAATACAGGTTAACTAACTAGTTAACTAAAATTGTGATTTTTGCATAATTGCCTCTACATTCCGTTGATTTTTTTGACGTTGAGACACTGTGTGTTGGCTTTAGAGACAGTACGACATAATATTCTTCACCTTAACCAGAATATAGCAAAGTTCTATATTTTTGATACAACGATTTGTCGCGTGCAGTGTCGAACCTCCGACCTTTGCGATTGCAAGTAATCCATTGCCATTGCGTTAAAAAAAATATACAAAATCTAAAAACGTTATAAAGACAATGATAATAAAACGACAACGAAATCAAATAAGATAAAACATAGGTATATGCTAAATTGAAGTACCACTTTATACAAATGTTATAAAAATATGTCCCGTTTATAGCTCCAATAAATTCTGAAAGTATAACGTATTCGAAGAGATTCTTTGTATTGTGTATCAAATAGCGCGCGGAAATAAAATAATAACATCCCAAGTACATTGTTCTACTAAACATTTCATACAATTACGCTCAAGAGATCTTCTTAGAAGAGAAATTGAAAATAATTTCTTCAATACAAATAAATTAATAACAAAAAAAGTACAACGAAAGCTTATGTTTTTAGCTTTTTAACTGAAAGCTTTTTCTTAGAAATCATATTTGTGAATAGCTTTTAAACAACGGAGAATTTTCCACGAACAATATATTTACGTTACATATTACTGGTACAACCGTTGTCGACATCGCAATATAACGTATACTCCATCACTAGTGCTCTAGATTATTTCTTGTATATAAAGGCACTTTGACTAAGGCGAAAGGACTTTGTGAGATGCTTTTACGGACAGTAGCGCCATGTTATCGCTGTATACATATTTCGTAGTGACGCTCAAGTTTAGATTTCAGATTATATGTTTGATTATAATGTTCAAATATTATAAGAGCTCATAGACTTTGTTAATATATCAAGATATCATTTTCTTAACAAAACTAAGATTTTACGTTCAAAATTTATTAACATAGCCATTTAACGAACTTTACGGCTAAAACTAGTGATGTTACATAGCATATAACTTACCTTTATATTAAAACTACCCACATAAAGCGTTTAGTACATTGAAAGGCATGCAGGAAAAACAACGATAGAAGCGTACATATGGCCGTCTCATTTGCCACTTACGGGAATAGAGGCTGGTTTGTTGACAACGACAATATCCTCGTCGATATGAACGAGGGTGATCGGTTGACTGGTCACCGGTACTTCGTGCCTGTAACGATACACACGTTACGGACGAAGCCATACTATGAAGTCTAGCTTAGAAGGGTACCATCCGCTTTTAAGGGTTGGATCGTCACTTAGATTCTTTTAGGTTCATATTATACGGCTGTTCACGCATTTTGAATACCATCTGCATATCCTTGGTTGAAGGGCGTTTATTTCATTTGGTACAGTTTTAGCACAAAAGAGGAAAGAATAATTTTATTTTGATATTTTTATGTCAACTTGTTTAACTACTGTCATTTAATTAAACGTCGTTTTAATATAGAATATATTTTCCATGATGACGAACAATCTGTTTTGTAATTGAAATTTTTAGAATTTTGTTGCACAAAAAGTCGGACAAAAATTCAGAGAAGTGTCAATATTTAAAACTTTAAAGGCAAATACTCTTTGAGGCAAATAACAGGTTTCCACTTTTAAATCCAGTAAATTTTAAATAGTTATATATGGCGAAGTTTGACAGAATTTATAAAAATATAACATATTTTCTTTAATTATATGAAATTCTCTGATACAGATAGACTTAAAAAAATAGACAAATTTAAAATTTAAGTTAACGCCATGATAGAAAAAACCGATCGTAAATCTCAGATTAAATAGAACATAAATAATGGAAATTGTTTATTTTTCTTCCCTAACGATAATAATCATTGATGTATGTGAGAATCGATTTGAAAGAACGATAGTAGATATAAATATCTATAATAGAACAGTCGATTACGCAGGTGGTATGCAAAGGTAAGAACCAAGGTAACAGGTACCATTAATCTGATCTCATATTGTATGAAATACAGATAAAGGACCAAACGACAACAAATGAACATGCGTGAGCGAAAATAAGTTAAAAGATGCCTTTTTTAACGATTTCTCATATTTAATCTTTAAATATCAATTTTACAGCATCAGAATTTAGAGATTAAGATTAAAGAAATGACTAGAGATATTAGTTATCTCAGATATTAAATAACTCAGATTAATTAAAGAAACAAATATAGATAAAAATCGTTAAAAACATCCGTTCATCTTTAACTTTTTAGAGACACAAAGGTGGTTTGCAATACGATAAAAGGGATACATGGTATAAAGTAAGTTAATAAAGGATTTACTTTAACTGGTGTCTGTAAGAAACAATAAATTTTGAGTGCACTCGCATGCTCATCCGGTGCTCATTTGATATTGAAATTTTGATAATACGACATTCCAATAAACTAAAGGCTTGTATATACAATCGAATTACAAATTTGTGTCTAATGCAAAGACCATATTCAACATAGATTCGTTCTCATGACCGATAATACTTGTTATTTTTGTATCACGAAAACAAATCTACGTCACCAATACACCGGTTCTATAAAATAGTTAAACTCCCTCAAGTTAAAAAAAGGCAAGACAGAAAAGAGTATGTTAATAACAGTACATTTATTTAAATATCCTCCGCTTCTAAGAACAGTGTTGTAGCAAATTTTTGCACATTTGGTAGCCTCTCTTACAATTGTAGTGCTAAATAATAAACTATACGTATCTTATAAGCTATCTACAAGAGTAGCCACTATAATGAGATCGAGAAATATGGGAAATTTATGGGGGAAAATACCTATGGACGACGTTCGCGAGTAGGTCGTTGTGTTTGAGTCGATAGTCGGGATCGACTCTCTCATAGTTGACTGTTAGGGTACCAGCTCGGATACACCGTTCGTACTCAGCGGCTGGATGTGCTCTGAACTCTCTTGCGAAGACATCGAGTATCTTCTCACCGACCCATCTTCCTTTGGTGAATGTTGTAAATGTGAAATAATAAGGGTAAACTTTCCTGAGGCCTGCAATTTTAAACGAAAACGGTTGTTACACTTGATGATAATAAATAATTTTTTATATTACCAATGTTAAGAGAAAGTACGTGTCACTTGCTTACAATAATCTTATTATAGTAAAATATATTATTTGGACACTTCTTTATAATACTAATTAACTTCTTCTGTTTTAATTAGGTTAGTGCGTTCAATTCTAATATCTCATTGTAAAATTGGATTATGTTTTCGATATCACGTATTCGATTCTTACGCGATATGTGTCATTGAAATATGTAGAAAGTAGTAATAATGTGAACAATAACTTATTGTAAAATTTATAATTTGCAAAAATAGAAATAAACGAAAACAGAAAATGACACTAGAATATATAGATAGTTACTTAAACTATAAATGTGAATGTTTAGATGTTTGGATGGATGTTTGTTACACAATCACGCCAGAACGGCTGAACGAATCTGAATGAAATTCAGAGATAGATTATAGTCTGGAATAGCACATACCCTCTTCGGAGGGCGGTGTACCATGCGGGTTGCTCCTGGTACTTCTCTGATAGCAGAGTGGACCTTGGAGCAACCCCGTGGTTGTTGTGGTCTGCTTCGGCAGACCTGCCGTCGGGGCGTCGTAGTTGAATGCGTAAGCGATCCTGCGACGCCCCATTAAAAAAAAAACATACGCTACTTTTTATCCCGAGAAAATGCATGGTTCCCGTGGGATAGATTTGTTTATATTTTATCGAGTGTATAAAGGAAAATATTTAAACCAAAAACAACATTATTTAAAATATATTTCGAGACAACACACCAGCTTGGTAATTTTTCTATGAAAAAACTTCCTTTCCAATCACTTAAAGTTGTTTACAACAAGCAAACTACCTTCGGTGAAACCTTGCGGGACTACGGCACTGCGGTAAAGTGACTAAGATTGAGACTCAACAGGCTTTCTTACCTGTTTAACGCTGATTTATAATGAAATACTACGTTATTAGATATTCGTGACTCATCACATTGCTTTAGGGTGTGCCTAGATGGTCTAATTAAATGAATATCTTTACTAAATTAAGCTTTGAATAATTATATAGTTATGTACTATTCATGTTTATTTGTCTGTCTGCTTATAAGTTTGATTTCTGCACCGATTTTAATTGAACTTTATATATTTTCATTTAAAATTTTAGTTAATTTCGAAGGAAATAGTCAAAGTTTCATTCATTTGTCCAATAGTTTATCTTGTTCCTAATTTACGATTCGATAAATTACGATCTTATTTAGAACATAGGTACATATATACCTACATATATGATATCGAATCAATAAAAAAATTGCAAATACATAGCTGGAGTCCATTACTTATTTTAATATACATATATATGTAATTGAAATTACATTCTTTAACATCAATTTGGGTTTCATTTTGGATCTTATACAATACTAGCATTGCCCGCGGCTCCGCCCGCGTTCAGATGACCAAAAACCAAATTCTTAGGTCTTACATATTAGTACACTCTTACAATGCAGTTTTTGTATTTTTTCTCAGAAATTAGATATTTTCCCGCGGTAAAAAGTATCCTATATGTTGACCCGGATAACCAGCTATCACCATACCAAATTTCATCAAAATCCCTCCAGTGGTTTTTCTGTGATGCGGTAACAGACAGACAGACAAAAATTCTAAAAACTATAGATTTGGCCTCTGTATCGATAATAATGTTTATTTCAATAAGATTTTCCAAAAAATATCTAATGTACAGATTCGGCTTAGTTACCATTTTATTATATGTATAGATTTTAAGTACGCCTTTGCACAAGTTTATGTACAGGTGAAACATAAAGTAACATAAAACGTACATTAGTTCGCCTTAGAAAAGAGTAAGAAAGGCAGTGGCAATAAAAAAGCCAATTCGCGGTTTATTAATTTTAAAACATTGCCCCTGCGGTTTCAGGTCAAGTCATATAATGTTCTTAGCAACTTGGCAATAATAAAGCACAACGTACAGTCAATACTAATTTAAAATTCATATAAGCTTATATTATTATTATGTTGAGACATTAACACAGCACAATCCAGTTCCATGGTAAGCTACGAGGCTCGTGTTATGGATACCAGATAGTTGATACATTATACATATATAACTTTAAATACATACATATTATAAATATACCCATGAGTGGAGTAAAAAAAATTGTGTTCATCAACAGCGGGACTCGAACCCGCGACCGTTGGCACATCAAGTAGGTTCACTACAAACTGAGCCAAACGTGTGGTTAGACTTATGTAAAATATAGATGAAAATATACAAGTACTCGCAGGTACTTTAAAAGGTTTAAGGCGCATTGTCTATTGTGGGGACAGAGAGATATAAAGATTAATAAAACAAAATATACTTTATGTACTTATGTCAACATTTAAGTCCGTATGGTTGCTTTTAAATTTTTAGGTCTCGTAGTACTGTAGTACTATATTGGTAGTGACTAATCCATATTAAAAATGCTAAGCTTAATTTGATGTATCAAATATTATGTACATATATCCCTCTATGGTACCCTTTTATGGAGTGTTAACCATACTAAGAAGTTATAGCCTCAATGTTAATAAAATATCATGTAAATCCGGGGGCAGAAGTTGGGTCTGTATACTTATTAAATTTGTGAACATGTATTCAGTCAGCCCTTTTTACCGTCCCACTAGTAGGAGTGGGCCTACAAAGGGGATCAGGCCATAGCCCACCAAGCTGGCCAAGTGCGGCTTGGTTCTCTCAGACATGCAGGTTTCTTCAGGATATTTTCCTTCATATTAGCGGTAATCATGTTGGAAATGATTCGCACATGAAAATATCAGAGTTGCGAGTCCCGGGATTTAAACTCGCTTTTAATTTCCCAAGTGAGCCGCGTTACGTATTAAATTTAATTTACATTAATTTTAACGATCAAGACCTACCATTTTCAATATAGTAAGATGTTTCGTTGTATCTGTCGTCTGTGAATCCTGGCCTTTTCGCCTTCAACGCCTTTGTTTCTAGCTTTGCCTGGAACAATAAAAATCAATAAATAGTTAGCCAACTTAACGATCGACTCGTAATGTGGTCATTATACGCGTACTCGCTTTTTCCATATACTTCCGTATTTGATTACTTGATTACTCGATATTTTTACTAAATATTGGTTGTAGTAGTATTTGCCTAGTGGTTGAAATTGACCATAATCATTATTGAAAATTTGAGGAAAACATATTATATGAATAGAATTTACTTAGCTATATACAAAAATATTTCATTTTTTATTGATAACATTAAAGCTCATCAATAGCTTTTATACAAAAAAAAAAAAATAGGAAATCGTTTGACACACAGAGGAAAAAAAGGTATTGAAGTGTACTGTCTCTCCCGTGACCATGATTGCTGTAAAGCATTCGAAACGTCGGGAACAAAAAAATCTAAATAAATGCACGAAAAAATCCAAAACGATAGTTTTATTCTCAAATATACTGTAATATTCGTTATTGTTACGACAATTGGCTTTAAGGGGATGAAAATTAATTTAATAAGTAAATATCTGGCAACATTTATTTAACATTGGTAAGCCTTCCTTTGTAAAGATGCGGGCTCAATCAATAATGGCGATTCAATGAAAATTATATTATTCATCAATCATTTATGACAGACAAGTACGGTGTAATTTGTTTACAATAAATTGAAAATTTAACGTAAATTGCTTCATAAACCAATCTAAAAAAATCATTATCGTTGTTCTTACGCAGCTCTAAGCAGGCTAATAAGCCACAGAAGCCTTATTAGGAATAAAGGCGATTATGTTGAAAAAAATTCTATTAATACTAAATTAAATAGCGAAATAGGATTATTCTAATGGATACAAAAATAAAAAAAATATATTGGGACATTAACACACAGCACCATCGAGTTCGACTTGTGTTATGGATACCAGATAGTTGATACACTACACATATATAACGTTAAATACACACATATTATAAATGTAAACACCTTGACTGGAGTACAAATATTTGTGCTCGTCACACAAATGAATGCCTCCAGCGGGACTCGAATCCGCTACCGATGGCACAGCATGGTAGGGTCACTACAAACTGATCCAAACGTGTCGTCAATAATATAAATATAACATTTACATAGTAATATAATATTATTTAATCGATTGGTAAACTTAGCTATCATCTGTTTTTTAGGGTTCCGTATATAATGTTTTTAGTCAAACCAAGGAACCCTATAAATTCGAACGTCTGTCCATCTGTCCTAGTTTTAGGAGTTATATCTTTTGAACCGTACTTACTTGTAGCTTGTTGTAATTTTTTGCAGGTTTTGTTATTGTTACTTCTACCTGACTTTCAGAGTTCCCTATGTTAAGTACTAGTATAGTATTAGATGATCTGTGGTTAAGTTAAATGTTAACCCAAATAACAATAGTTTTATTAAAACTATTTTCAGCTTGAGTTCTATTATGTTTTTTCCGGGATAAAAAGTGTAGCCTATGTGTTATTCCAGACTATAATCTATCTCTGTGCCAAATTTCATCCAGATCCATTCAGCCGTTCTGGCGTGAAAGAGTAACAAACATCCACACTCACAAACTCACATTTATAATATTTATATAGAAGATTATATATTAGTTGACAGAATATCCTCGATGTTGGAAAGAAACGCTTGTAAAGTTTCCCGTAGCGCCGACGGCGAAATGAGAAAAGTTTTTTTTTAAAACGAAACAATCTACGTGCTATGAGATTTTATTCATTCCATTGTACGCGTCTCCACTTGAGGAGCTTTTCAGTGATATAATTATATCGAAATCGAATTAATTTGTTTAGGTAAACACATTCAAACAATGGCATTAGAGTCAGGATAGCAGATTCGATTTCCGGACTAAGGTCACAGTGCCTTATCAATATATATGAATTTTAATGTTATTTACTATACAAAGATTACATGTAGTATGTTATTTTTATAACTGTGTTTTTTTTGTACTTTATTTCCATATTACCTTGCACTTTTCTGCTCCGCTAAATGACAATCTTTCTCACCTCCTAGGTTGACTGGAAGAGATCTCTTTTAGAGATAAGTCCACCTTTGCCTTTAATTTTCTCTTAATATTTGTAATTTGTTTTTCATGTGGAATTAAGAATATATAAATATATACATACATACATACATACTGTATCGCAAATTCGTAGGTCGAGAGTATGGTGGTACATCACTATTCTCTCGGCGATTCTTAATACTTATAATCGTCTAAATATTCATATCTATACAAATTACTACAACTAACTGTACAGCGTAAACATAAAGCTCGTATATTCCACATTCGGAAATCGAACTAGCAATTACTGACTCAGTAAGCACTTCTTCGCCATAAGACAGTCACTTGCAGTCCTATATTAAGTATATTTAATTTACTATAGCATCTTAAATATTTTATTATGAAAATAACAACTTGTACCTGTAATAAAGTTTTTAAATTACCTTTACATTATATGATACACCAATATAATTTCATGTCATAAATAATGTAACTTAATACAAAAGCTTGGGCAAAGCAAGCTATTAAATATTCACTCACATCGGTCATTTCGTAAATAATTAAGGTTTTGGATAATAATCGTGTATATTTCGTTTTAAAACTGTCAACGTGGATAAAGACTATTTTTGCAACATTTACGAGCATGCGAAACACGTTAAACCAATCTTGTCACCAGTTAAGTGGTTTATACATGGAAATTATGGTGATATATACATAAAAACCCATAACAGACATCGGACGGTGTCTGCACGTTGACATATATATTTTCAACCGACTTCAAAAAGGAGGAGGTTCTCAATTCGACTGTATGTTTTTTTTTTTTTTTTTTATGTTTGTTACCTCAGAACTCCGTCATTTATTAACCGATTTGGACAATTTTTGTTTTGTTTGAAAGGGTATACTTCCAGATTGGTCCCATTTAAATTTCAAAAAAAAATACCACCCCTAAGGGTGGAAAAACAACTAATGATGAATTTAACCTACTTCTAATTGTCATATTGACTTGAAATATTGCCAGCCCATACAAAGCAAAGCACACCGACTTCGCAAATATTTGATTAGGTATGTATAGTAAATGAAAACTACCAATCAGTTATTTTTTACTTTTTAGTGCTTTTGTTTGAAGTCGGTTTTTATTTTTTTGTTAAAAAGTTTTTATTTATACCTTGCTTGAGGAGATATAATTTGGAAAAAATTTAAAAGAATCATTAAATTATGTATTACATTACAGTCCTTAATAATACTAGTGTTACATAAAAATGTAAATAATTCGATTTGACGACACGTTTGGCTCAGTTTCTAGTGACCCTACTTGCTGTGCCAGCGGTCGCGGGTTCGAGTCCTGCTGGATGCATTCATTTGTGTGATGATCACGAATGTTTGTACTCAGCCGTGGGAATTTATATTCATAATTTGTTTGTATTTAAAAGTTATATATGTGTAGTGTATCAACCATCTGGTATCCGTAACATTACCTCGTAGCTTACCATGGAACTAGATGGTATTGTGTGTTAATGTCCCAACATATTTATAATTATTAAAAAAACGTTTTTCTTATATATTTGTGTATTGCCTGTTTCATTTTACTATAATAATAATTTCCACTAAAAAATTTAAAAAAACTATGTTTTTTTTTGTCTTGGAGACACCATCTCTCTCCCGATTGTTTTAAACCATTCGAAACGTCGGGAACCAAATATCAAAATAAATCCGCGAAAAAATCCGAAAAAATAGTTTTATTTAAAATGTCAAATATTCGCGTAAATCTAAGAAAATATAAAAAAAACAATTTACTCATATATTAAGCAAAATCAAATCTAATCTGGTGGTAGAAAAAAACATTAATATATCACAAAGGTAAATTGCTTTGCCAGGAAAATTGGTTTTAGTGGAATATAAAAAAAATCCCTCTCCATTCATCTCGGGGTTGAGTTCAAAACCTTTTCTTTTAAAAAACCTAATGTATTTAAATTAGGTGGGTGTGCACGACTTAGTCGTAAATTTAGCGCGACCTCTACAGGACATTTTGCGGAGATAATGAAAACAAAATGACCCCGATCCTGGGACGCGAAAACTTTGGACTTAATTAAATTTTACCTGCTCTGTTCTCGACTTAGAAGTGGAGCTTGAACATTTTACATATTTTTAAACCTAGTGAATTTGTTGAGTTTGATTATGCACGAGATACTTGTTTAGTTAAACATTTAAGCTAAATTGTTAGCAGGGTTAGTAGGGAGTATCTATGCACGTACGTACATATATCTTTATATATATAATTCTTCTGTGAGTGTGTATGTCACTGAACTTTTCTCAAACGACTGGACCGATTTTGATGAAATTTTTTGTGTGTGTTCAAGGGGATCTGGGAATGGTTTAGATTCACAATTTGAATAATAATTTTCATCAAAAAAATTATTAAAAAAAAAAGTTTGAAATTTTGAAATTAAAGACGTGTAGACAGGACAACGTCTGTCGGGTCCGCTAGTATTATTTGAACCATCTATATCAAATAATGATAATGATTATTTATTAATCTAAGCTATTATACATCACTAACATTTTCCCGCGGCTCAGCAATTATATATTAAGTAGTTAAATAATTATATCTTTAAAAATTATAACCTATTTGTTACTTTTACGTATAAGCTATATTACTGTAAAGTTTCATCAAAATCCGTTCAGCATTTTTTGCGCGAAATAGTAACAAACGTCCATCCATCGATCTATCCATCGATCCGTCCTCACAAGCTTTCGCGTTTATAATAAGTAGGAATGGGTATTTCTAGAAATCAAATCCGTAGCCGCTGTTGTATAATACACAGGCACGATTGTATTCAGCCCTTTTTAACGTCCCACTGCTGGGCACGGGCCTCCCTTCAGTACGAGGGGAATCAGACCATCGCCCACCACGCTGGTCAAGTGCCGGTTAGCGGACTAATTATTAAAATTTCAGTAATGTGAATATACTCTATGTGAAAATTGAACTAAAATCAAATTAAAAATACTATCTTTAAAATATGTAAGAATATTTATAGAGTATGTAGTATAAGCGGCTCACCCTCGCTTCGCTCGGGTTCGTCCCTGGGTACGATTTAAATAGATATAAACAGTGATTAGCCAGCGTTAGTCATATATTTTATTTAAGAATTTGCCCGGTGTTTTAATAGTTATTCGGGGCAGAGACAAATCCAACAAAACAAAGATCTTAAAATCGGTCCCCGAGTTATAAGTGTTGTAACAAACCCGACTTTATTATAAATATATATATATATATATATATATATATATATATATATATATATATATATATATATATATTTAAAATATTTATAACGTAACGTACATGGTTAAACTGGAAGACTCTATAGAGATCAGAGATAGGTCCCACCTTTACTCACATCAATTGTTTAGTGTAATAAAGCATATTGATAATGTTATATCGACATTAAACAAAATGCCAAACCTGTAAACAAGTGCCATTAAGCTTTATATTTACAGCGCTTAATTACATAAAAGCTTCCCGAAAAATAAGCTCTACCAGAGGAATACAAATAGTGTCACAAATTGATTCGTGCCAGCTATTTGGCAGGGTGCCTTGTAATGCGTGCTATTGAAAACTCGATGTGAATCTAAACCGTTTTATGAGTCCAAAATATCTAACAATTAGCTTGGCTGCCATTCGTGTTTACTCTGGCTCTGTGTGTAGCTCTTATAGATCGTAAAAGTGCCTTCAAACGATTTTAATTTAGATAAGCAGTCTGAATAAACTCTATCTAGCGTTAGGTATTTAGCTTTTCTATCTAGAAGTAAATGTTTTCGAAGATTTAGTCGTATATTAAATCGTTGATAAAATACTATAAATAAATAAATATAAGTATATTGGGACATTAACACACAGCACCATCTAGTTCCATGGTAAGCTTGTGTTATGAATACCAGATAGTTGATACAGTACACATATATAACTTTAAATATATACATAATATAAATATAAACACCCATGACTGGAGTACAAACATTGCCAACGTGTGCTCATCACACAAATAAATGCCCCCAGCGGGTCTCGAACTCGCGACCGCTGCACACCACCCGCGGCACACCAAGTAGGGTCACCACAAACCACAAACAAACCAAACGATGTTTTCATACTACTTCAAACACGAATATAAATGGAGAAGGCATTGCTTACTCACATAAAGTTCGATTAATGAAGTGAACGCTATCTATTCGTACTAAAACTATATAATTTTAGGATATTTTACATAATTACTAGAGAACTTTCAATTGTTGTAAATTAGAAATTGTATGTAATATTGGCTGTTTATCGTGAGATAGAGTTACGTATAGCGAGTAGAGATCTTTAAAATTCCCTTTAAATAGAATTTCGTGACAATTGTCGACAGGATCACAATAAACATATTAGCATTCTTTCTTAACATTATACTTGGTCATAATTCATTAATGAAAAAAATTACACTGCGCGGGGATCGAACTTACGGCCTACGTAATATTGACCAGTACCAATGCTGATAGCTATTAAATAAATAAATAATAAATATGTCAGGACATTAACACACAACACCATCTAGTTCCATGGTAAGCTAGGCTTGTGTTATGGATACCAGATAGTTGATACATTATACATATATAACTTTTAAATACATACATATTATAAATATAAACACCCATGACTGGAGTACAAACATTCGTGCTCAGCACACAAATGAATGCCCCAGCGGGACTCGAACCCGCGACCGCTGGCGCAGCAAGTAGGGTCACTACAAACTGAGCCAAACGTGTCGTCTTTTTATTTATCGCTTAATTATAAACCTGTTTACTGAAATCACTTATATTCATAAATACTATAATAATAGCATATTTTAGCTGAAGTTCGCAATTTTCGTGTTGGTTCTCACAACATTTATACCACACTATACATCTACACTTCTCGACTTCTCCATCAATAAAGAATAAGCGAATTTATATTTTATTCCTTTAGGATACGTATCACAATTGAATTTTCGCTAAGAAAGGGGGAGCTTTGGTGGTCGATTGTATCAGTCGATAGGTCGCGTGATCGAAACCATTCAAAGTGTATTCCAACCTTAATGCACATTGGGGCAAATGAAATGTCTTCATTACATTCGTATCTTGTGTGGTTAGTTTATGAGTTCGCATGTTCGTGTGTAAATACGCAATTTCAATTTTTGCTCTATTTATTATTACTTGGTAAAGAGTTTTAATTTTACATAGTTTTCGCCCACGAGTTCAATAATGATAGATTCATGTAAAGATCCTATTTTACTGTCACGAAAGTTCTTTTCGTCAATGAAAATCTTATTAAAATCGATTAAGCCACTTATATATATATATATATATATATATATATATATATATATATATATATATATATATATCTAACCCTTCGTCCCTCGGTTGGTTCCCCATAAATATTTTCATCCCCATTTTCACCCCCTTAAGAGATGTTTTCCGGGATAAAATCTATCCAATGTCCTTTCTAGGGTCTCAAACTATCTTATTACCAAATTTCATCTAAATCGGTACAGTACTTTCAGAGCTTATTCGGTACAAACAAACAAATCTTTCCTCTTTATAATATTAATATAAATACAATAAAACCAATAAGTACATACAATATATATATATATATATATATATATATATATATATATATATATATATATATATATATATATTTATCCAATATTTGCTTAACAGAAATGTCAGAGAAAATAATATGAAAAATTACAAACCTTCTTTAAGTCTTTGTTAATATCAGAGTCGTCGGCTTTCCTTTTCTCGCAAGACAGTATGCAGTTCTTCCCGTTATCTTTTTCACCCTGCAACAAAGGAATAAATAATATTTTAAAAACATTTCATAATATTTTATATATAAATGTAATTTTTTTCTAATGCTGACGTTTCTACGACGTTTAATATGATACTAGTCACTCACCCTCGCTCCGCTCGGATTCGTCCTACTTACGGTTTGACGGTTAGTGTAGATTTCTCAGAGATGAGATATTTTCTCGCAGTAAAAAATATTCTATATCTATACCAATTTTCTTCAAATTCTGTCCAGTGGTTTTCTCGTGATGCATTCCCAGACAGACAGATAGTTATACCTACATGACTATACAACGTAATAAAAAAATCAATAAAAATGTAATATCAATGCAAGTTTAAAACCATGCAATACTAAGCATTTGAAATATGTGGTCAAGGGCTTATGTTTATGCATAGGATCGATACGGTACGGTATTCTTTCAGACGAATGTAACAGTGTAATGGAATTTATCCATCATATGATTGTGCCTAGAATTCTGACCTCCCTCAGGGATGCTCCTAGCCTGGTTGGAATTTCATCGGTGGAAAATATAGGAAAAATCCTTCTATTTGCTCGAATTTAGCCCCGTGGGAGCTTTGGTAGCAAGGAAAGGAGCTTTAGTCGCTTTATATCTGGAATTATTATATTCGAGACTGGCTTTCGCATGCGGCTTCGCTTGCTTTTTTGTTTATTGATATTGCTAGCCCTAAAACGTTTTAGGATGATTTTAAATAGCATTTCTTAATCAATTATAAGGCTATAAAGCGAGATAATAAGTTTTCAAATCTGACTCGTAGTTTTAGATTAAAGCCTTCAAGCATAAAATTGTTAGAATTATACTTCTATTAATAATATACCTTATATAATAAGGAATGCTACAATAAAAAGCATAAATACTATGTACATATATGAAAAAACACATAATACTATTTACGTTGGTCATGAAATGGTATTATTATTTTAAATAAAACTATCTTTTCGGATTATTTCGCGGATTTGTTTTGATTTTTGGTTCCCGACGTTTCGGATGGTTTACAGCAATCATGGTCACGGGAGAGACTGAGGTGTTAGATATCTCGAAGGTATAGTTGTTTCAGACAGCCTACCCACAAATAACAAAAAAAAAAAACATTGATGTCATAAATCGCATGTCGCACGCCTGTAAATATTCCCGGGGGAGAAGCCAACTCCTACCGGGCGCGTCCCCAGGTGGCGGATAGGGGAATGCCACCCGCTTAGGGCGGCGGGTGGTACCGGAGAAATCCGGCGCGGACCAAATGGCTTGGGTGGGGCCGCTCGTCTAGGCCTCGAGCCGAAGACGTTGCGGCCACCGGTGGTGGGACCGTTTGGTCCCACAACCGGATGATGGGTGCCGGTTGCGGGACTGTGGTCGCAGGCCCGCATCCGGCGGAGGAGTAGGCCGCGGCGGGAGAGGAGTGCCGGTATTTCGGTGCGCCGTTCTCCCTACCTTCCGCGGCCTAGACGGGGCCGCCACCGTTTGATGGCGGACGCGGTGGGGCTGCAGGGGAAGAGGAGTGTCGGTGTGTCGTTGCCGCTCTCCCTGTCCTCTGCAGCCGATTGGAGGTGGCCCACTTCGGTGGGCGGATGTTAGGTTTAATGGGGCTGCTCCGGGTACCTCTCTGGCGTAGCAGAGTTGACTGTGGAGCAGCCCCATTGGTTTGGTGGTCTGCCTTTTTAGGCAGACCTGCCGCCGGGGCGCCGTAGTAGTTATGCGCAAGCGATCCTGCGGCGTCCCATTAAGGCGGAGGGGAGGGGAATGCCGGGTTTTAGTGGGTAGTACCGGCTCTTCTAGCCGGTGAGCCCCACATCACCACCTGGGGGATCAGGTGGTATGCGTAAATGCATTTCCCGACATAAAAAAAAATAAAAAAAAAAACGCCTGTAAATATTGCCACTCCTAGTGCTTCTATTTAAATGTTATGTTATAATTAAGCTCATTGATCTGTAATGAGGTTAAGTCACGAACGTTTTGTTTTAAATAATAACATTAAATAGTAAAATATACAATAAGAAGAGCATGAGAATTTATCATCAAGTTATAATTGTACCAATTTTCAAAATTACTTGATTTTCAGGCTAACATTCGCATTTTTGTAATCTTTAACAAAATAAAAAACGCCAACGCTGGCAAAGTATATGCGGGAACGTTTTCTTTAAATATTCTCTAAATATTGGTTTATGCAAGAATTTGAATACATATTATATATAAAAAAATTAAAAGATTAAGATTTTTTAACCCGTAAATAGCTGTTTTATAAAAAAGAACTATAAAATACTTTTGTCTCTTTCCAACTGATAAACTATTTTTAAAGACAAATTACATCGATTTTTTGCTGTAAAACAAGGACGGTACAACATAATTTCGCATTTACAAAATAAAGAAAAAGTTAGATGATATATATATGTATACACTTATATAATCATAGATTTTTCACCAAAATTATCTCTATCAAAAAAGCTTATCGCTAAGATGATACTTACATCCTACTAAAAATGAGCTTTAAGCTTCAAACAAAATAAACTTTAAGGAATAACAATATAATACGTAAGTATGGATATCGTAAAAGATCCGCAGCAAAATAATACCATAAATCCTTGTACCGAATGCTAAAAATAAATTGAAGTTATTTCATTAGGTAGGTCTGTCTGAAATATTACATTAATATAGAATTTCATTTATCTAGGGACTTGAGGTTGGATTCCGGTCTTCTGATTTCGAGGGGATGATCTGCGGTTCAAAAGTCGACTTCGATTTAGAATTACGTGCAATTTGCAGACATTTTTTACGTAATCTCAAGAAGATTGTATTTTTTCTTTGAAAGATTTAAAAAAAAACGATTACTAACAATTCAAAATTGCTTGTAAAAGTCTATTTGAATAAAGTATATTTTGGTTTGATTTGATTTGAACGATAAAGACCTAGAAGTATATATTATGTATTGTATTGTATAGTATTTAGCCCTTTTTAACGTCCCACTTGCTGGGCATGGGATCAGGCCATAGTCCACCACGCTGGCCAAGCGCGAGCTGGCGGACTTCACACGTCATTCGAAAACTTGCTAGGTTCTCTCAGAAATGCAGGTTTCCTTGAGATGTTTTTCTTCACCATAAGACAAGTGAAAATCATGTTAGAAATGATTCGCACATGAAAATATCAGAGTTGCGAGACGCGGGATTTGAACCCGCTTCAATCGGTTTCCCAAGCGAGCGCGTTACCACTGGGCTACCACTGCCAGGCCACTACAGAAGTATATATGCTATATTAAAAAAATAAGTTTCATATTATAATGTTCTTAATACAGCAACTTTTTTTTGCTTTAATTTGCTCAACTTAACGATTCTCTAATCGTTTTTCATCATCATTTATAATAAATGTTTAAGTATATTAGTTTACTTTGAACTTTTTCTATGAAAAATGTATATATATATATATATATATATATATATATATATATATATATATATATATATATATATATATTTAATTAAATATGTTTATTAATTAAATAATATAGCTCCAAAAGTTCAAAAAATGTCTATACATTTATAAATTATAGAAAATAACTTGTTCAGAAAGAAGCCAACAGTATAAAGAAAAAATCGCTTGCAGTGCAAATTTCATAATCTTATCAGACTTGTCTTAATTTATTTCATTATATTTTATTCCATGAACCATTATAATCTTTTACTGAGCTTTTAATATTTTAACTTAAAGTAGCTTTCACTAAGAAAATCTTAAAGTTCTTAGTGACAGTGTGGGAGGAAACGTAGGCGTGCGATACTTTAATAAATAAAATAGTATTACCTCAGTTAGATTTCAAAAAAGAAAGCTACTCAATTCGAGTATACATTTTCTTTTGTCGTTTATTTAACGCTATATTTTTATAAATAAACTAGCGACTGACCCTCGCATCGCTCGGGTTCGTCCCCACTTACGTTTTAACGTTTAGTATAGATTTCTTAGAGATGAGATATTTTCCAGCAGTAAAAAGTGTCCTATATATTGATCTGGATAACCTGCTATCATCATACCAAATTTCATCAAAATCCCTCCAGTAGTTTTTCCGTGATGCGGTAACAGATAGACAGACAGACATACAGAAAGACAAAAATTCTAAAAACTATAGATTCCGCCTCTTTATCGATAATAATGTCTATTCCGATAAGATTTTCCAAAAAATATTTAATGTACAGATTCGGCTTAGTTACAATTTTATTATATTATGTATAGACTACATATACTGTTCCTTCTGAATAATGTAAACAAAATTTCGCTATTAAAGTGGTTTTGAAGTCAGATTCCTTTTGTATTATACCACTGTACTCTAATTTAGTAATCTGAAATTTATCGTCATTGGAATCAAGAGACATGGATGACATCCATTAGAAACATATATTCTTTTGAGATAAATAACTCGCTTCAAATTATACCTTATTACGTATAAAACAAAGTCGGGTTTGTTACAACACTTATAACTCGAAAACTGCTGGACCGATTTTCATGGTTTTTGATTTGTTGGATTTGTTTCCGCCCCGAATGGCATAATAATTATTAAAACATCGAAAAAATCACAAACTTTTTTCAAAATTAACATGGCTAACACTGGTTAATAACTATTTATATCAATTTCAAACGTACTTAGGGACGAACCCGAGCGAAGCGAGGGTGAGCTGCTAGTAATAAAAATATGTCAACGAATACCCTAACAGTTTCTTACCAAAATAAAATATATGATAAAATTAAACAGTAAAATAAAATTCTTATCTTTTTTATAACACATTAGTGTCAGATAAAAATACAGAACACAGTACAATACTTATCGCCTGAAACAAAAGTTCGAAAATGAACTTTTTCATCACACTTTTCTTTGTAATTCTCGTTCCGACTGCCATTAATAATGTAAATCCCTAGTGGCTGTTATGAGGTTTTGTAATTTTGTACATTTAAATTAAATCCTTGTTCTAAAACAATAGCTATAAAAGATGTGTACA